GAGAGAGAGAGAGAGAGAGAGAGAGAGAGAGATACATGACACCTACTTAAGAGCCTCTGGTGGCAGCTTGCAGTCTGACATGTTCAGATATTTCAGGGAGATTGCACTAGCAAAGAACTGCTTCCAGGTAATAGGCACTTGCACATCCTTGCTGCGTTTGTAGCTGTAACTGTTGTGTGCCAAGTTCAGCGTGACCAGGTTTTGACAACAACCTCTCAAAAGAGCCCCCATTACCTGAAGATAAAAATTAAAGGTTTTTCATCATCTCTTGTGCAATGATGTTAAAAATGAGCTCACTTCCAATTAGACTCGATATGTTTTTCCACCTATGAGGTATGACATGCTGACCCTTCTTTAAAGGGCCTTCAGTATTAAATCCCCTGTGGAAGGGACAAAACACCATTAGACAGAAAACACATTAATTTTAATCTCTTCAGAAAGGATTAACTTTAACCGTTGAAATATAAGAAATGTTTTTATTACTGAAGTTTATTTCTAAAAATTAAATCTTACCAGTTCTAGGGCAACCTCTGTGCTTGACAGGTCTAGATGAATTATAGCATTGGGCTGAGCCAGGAAGTTGTAAAGATTCTGAAAGGGAAAGATTGAATATGTATAGAGCTATGTATTATATTTTCTTAATGTATTGTCTCACAGTAAATTTTTTTTTTTTTCAAAAATTATTAGGAGCAGATGACTGAGAAATAAATTTTGAGGTTTTGGCTTGACAAAAAAAAAAAAAAATAAATAATAATAATAAAATAAATAAAAAAGACTAAAAGCAGCATCAAACTTTACAGAATGGTCAAGTTTATTTTGATAACTTTTGGGATCAGATGGTAACTCTAATTTCATTGCTCATATTCAACAAATAAATATAGGTAAACACATAAGGACAAAATAAATCTGTAAATTTCAGTTGAATATGTAGATGCTCATCAGCACAATTATTTGCATTAAAAAAAACTTACCGTAACTTCTTCCCCTTTGAATGAGTTCTCAGCCAACAGCAGATATGTGAGATTGGTCGGCATGAACTTGTTTGAACTCAGAGCCTCAGCTAGGCGATTGGCCCCCTTAGCGGTCATCCCAGTCTTAGCCAGGTTCAGGTAGGTCAGTCCCTTGGGAAGCTTACTGACTGGTCCACACAGGTGATTGATACCTGAAATTGTATTTTAATTAACTGATGCTGCAGTGACATATTGTGCAAATAGCATAATTACGTCAGGTACTGTTGTTTCTTCAATTTGTAAGCTATTACCCCTACTTGAATAAACATTGGCTCTGTGCTTTTGCTATGGACTTTTTTCATATTGCACTGATAATGGGTAACTTTTCTGCTAGTCAGGGTTTTTTAGAAGTTACTGATTCACATAAATATCAGTTTGAAAATAACACTCTGATCTCTGTATTCTACATAGCAGGGCAGAGCATTGGTAAGTTTGCTTAACAATGACAGGTGTAAAATTTGAAACAGAACTTATATTTTACATCTTGTAATTTTTACATATAATGTCCCCCATATGAGCCCTTACCTCTGTCTTCAATGGGATTATTTGACAAATCTAACATGGTCAGGGATGTCCCACTATTGGCAATTATTGCTACAGAAAGCTTCTGGACAAAGTCACTGAAAAAAATGACAAAGGGGAAGAGAAGTTAAACACAAATCAGACAATTTTATCAAAAGAGCCAAAGATGCTTAAAGGTCTCTTGCTGTGTCCCCAGAATGAATCTTAAAAGCAGACCCTTTCCAGCAAAACAGGGGTCTTTCAACCCCCATCTACTGTCATGCTTTAAATCTAACATGATTCCAGAAGTCCATTTCTCACCCTTTCAGGCCCACACTGCTAAGATACAGCTCCTCTATACATGTGTTCTTCCTCATCACCTTCAGTACTTCTACTTGAGCTTCAGGGACCTGGAGAGATCAGTGTACAGTATGGTCTTATTGGGCCCATTCCCATAGATTTTAGATCGATCTATCCCCATGGGGAGTCTCACTAGATTACTGTCAGATAATCCGTTTTAAATGTTCGTCCCGCCTACTACAAGCTGAAAGGGGATAATTAACTTTTGCGCAGGCTCGGCTGACAGCTATTTAGCGTGAGCCCCCAGGGAGTTAGGTCAATCTAAGTTAGATCGATCTAATCTCTGGGAATGAGGTCATTGAGTGAGCTAGAGCTGGAAAGTTCCTTTTCAAGCCTTATAAATAATCTTCACTGTGTGTGCGTGTGTATGTGTGCACGCATGCATGTGTAGCTGCACATGCGTGCACACATGTATGCCTGTTCTTTTAAAGACACCTCCACGTAACCGTTTCTGAAGGCAAAAGTTACCATAGCTTCCAGCTTATGTAACAAGGTAGTACGAATTTAAAAAAACATCTTACACCATTTTACTTCTCACACTATTTCTTCTCATATGCTCAGACTTTGACTTAGTACGCTGAACTATAATTTCGGAATCAGTCATTTGGCTGATAACAAAAATTATACTTATATTTCTTACCAGTTTAGTGTTGGATGCATTCAGCTTGGTAAACCAGGAGTTGTGCTCCAGTGCAGAGATAATAGGCACTAAATCCCTGAAATTACAAAAATATATAAATATGATGTATATATATATATATATTGTATATACAAATATGATATTATATATATATTTTATTATGTACTTTCAGTGACTTGATATTGTGTTTCCTGTCAAGTTTTTAAAAACTTTTGGTGACAAAATCCAACACACTGCCACTTTGAGCACAACTAACACAATGTCACAATCCACAAATATCACAACCACGGCTCATCTTTAACATGAGATTTCTCAAGATAATCTAGCAAAGCAAACATCTGATCAACATCAATGATAAATATGTTTTAAAATGTTTGCACTTGACACCATATAATTATTTAACATTACTTTACCAAATTAAAATGTTTTTTAAAAGCATCTGGCAAGAATTCACTGTGACCAAGATGGGCCTGGACAATCTTGTCTTCCTGCCTTACCTACCTGTTGTCTATATGGTCAAAGTCACACAGTGTCAGCTCCTTGCTGTCCTGGGACAAGTAGATGGTATCTACATCCTGAAATCATATAAAACTAGTGATGGGTGCAATTCTAGCAAACTGCATTGTTAACAGCACATAGTCCACCAGAATACCACTCAGATTGTACAGAATTCTATTTAGGCAGCTGAATTCTCATTCAGAATTAGGGTTACGTGACCTGTGCTTTTTTACATGAATTTAATTATCAGCAGTGGTACATGTGTATGTATACCCCATACAACTATACTGCAGTTACCTATACACATGTATACATATATCTATACACTGTGTAGCATAGGAGTACTAGTACACATCTATACCATGCAAGCATACAAATTAATATGCATACATGTGTTAACATGGTGTATGCATATTATATGCATGTGCATGGTATATACCATGCAAATACACCTGTGCATGTATGGCATATGCAAAATGGAAACAATAATGAGATCTAAAATGCATTTTTTATTGTAAACTCACCCAGGCCACTTCATCCCTGAAAGGCAGTTCGTGGTAGTCGCACATGCATGCATACATGTGAGAGAAGCCCCCACAAGGCCCTCTGTCTCGTCCCTCTATGTCTTTGATCATGTCATACATGGTTTTTATTCTGTCTGGGGGAGTCACTTCTATTTTGTTGATCATTTTCCTAGAAAGGTAAAAGTTTTGATTTCTGACTTTATGTTCTAGGACTTAATCTGACTTTACAGTTTGTACTAGATATTTAATCTGACTTTAAGATTATGTGCTAAGGTTTTAAATAGACTTCTATTTCTGTATATTTCTTATAATATTATGTACTGTCCACTCACTCTAACTGTTGTGTTGGAAAGATGGCCTTCAGTGTGGTCCCTATATGTGTGATCATGTGATCCACCTCCTCAGTCTGAGGTTGTAATGTGTGGAAGGTCAAGGTCTGAGACGCTCCTCCCTTGGGTGACACTGTCAAACTTAGCTGAAATAGAACCGATAATTGATCATCCATGGTGTGTTTATCTGTCAATCTAATTGCATTCAGCGAGAGTCCCTGCAAAGTTGGATCAATCTACGTAGAACAATAGTTGTATAATTGGAAATAAGTCCTTAGCATGAGGTTTTACTTCACATTTCAGAGCTTGCTTACACCCAGGAATATTTTGCTTCATAATTGCACATCTGGGCCTGGCTTCAAAAAAGTCCTTTAGCCTCAAGTTTGGTTTTAACTTTTTAGTCTACAGGATTTTTGGCCCAAGAAATATCTTTCAGTAGTCCAATAAAAGGAAAATTATTCCCATTTCATAGAAAGACATAAATGACTTATGATTAAGTTCAATACTTACTTTATTTGAATGCACTACAGCAGTAACTGGAACAAGATTTATTTTCCAATTTGAAGTTGACCAAAGAACCAAAAAGTTTGGTACAAAAAGTGTTTAAGTCTTTGTTCAACATACCTCTGGCCTGACTTACCTGGTTTTGTTTCTTGCTTTCTATGTTCTGGATGTCCAGGTAATGGACACTAAGGTCAATCTATAAGTAAACAAATAGGGTTTTATTGGATTTTCTTTTCTATTGTTCCCTACTGTATTAGTATGGTAATTACTAGATCTTTTCTATTGGGGGGAGGGGGTGAATTTTACAGATGCTGTATTTTTTAAGTCCTAATTTCTTAGAATTAGAACATTCTTATTGAGTGGTTACAACATGAACATTATTAAAAAGAGGCTGCTTTATAGTTTTATTCTATGCAGTAAAAGCACCACAAATGCTATATAAAAAATATCATTTTTGTGATTATAAAATTATGCATCTGGATTTTGATTTTTTTTTTTTGCCCATTTAAAAGATCTAGTAATTAGCACATATGTTACTAGTCTCTGTACTGCATGAGTACATATNATACTCAGGGTACATCTGTATTTACACTGCCTGATGTAGGATATTATCAAGTATAGAGGGGTGGGAGGGAAGGGGGGTTGGGATAGGTGCATAAATTATTTTGTTCCTCATCTTAATGAAGGAGATTATGAGGAAAGATGTTGGAAATACAATTAGAGATCTTCTAATATATTAGACAAGTTAGGAGTTTAAATCACTGACTGATACCATCAGATATCTTATTGAGACAAAAAACCGACAGGATAGGTAAAAGCTTACTTTGGCTTCACACTGTTGAAGTTCTTGCCAATAGCCAAATGTTTAATGCTACGGTTCCTTTGAATCCAGCGGCAAACTCTCTCTATGTCTTGGTCAAAATCTGGAAAAAGAAAAAGAAATGTGTGAGGTAGTAAGTCTTAGAACACATCCTATCATGGATGTGACACTGCCATGTGACACTGTACCAGTTGCAACAAGAGTATGGCCATGACACTACTACCGATGTACAACAATTACAAACTACATTACTACAGCTGTGACACTGCCAGAGATGCAACTGTGTAAAATCTGACACTGCTATACGTGCATGACACTGCTAAAAATGTAACACTGCGGCTAGCGCACCACTACAGAATGCACATAAATGTTACGACTTAAAATTAAACCAAATTTTTTTATTAAATTTAAAATTTTTTAAAGGAAATCACAATTTTCTTACTGTTATCACTGATATCTAGGCTAGTAATATTTGGAATGTCTGCTATACAGCTCTCTATCATGGTAGCACCAGGGGAGCGTAAATCATTGCAGCTGAGGTCTAAATGAACATCCGACAAATTTTTGTTGACACCAATGCCTAACAGTAGAGACCTGAAAATAAACAAAGTAACAATCCAGTCAGAAGTGTTTTGAAAAAGTATATGAAAGTGAAAAAGAATGGAAAATAATGAACCCAGTAACCCTTGTGATGCAGTGTTACTGTACTATAAATATTTTGTGTTGTAGCTTGAATCCTTTTAAAGCATTTGAATATGATCACAGTAAATATTTAATGAATATTTTATAATCTCAAAATTGGTTTAGACATATGAAGAAAGAGAGAGAGAGAGAGAAAGAGAGAGAGAGAGAGCTACATGACACCTACTTGAGAGCCTCTGGAGGCAGCTTGCAGTCTGACATGTTCAGATATTTCAGAGAGATTGCACTAGCAAAGAACTGCTTCCATGTAATAGGCACTTGCACATCCTTGCTGCGTTTGTAGCTGTAGCTGTTGTGTGCCAAGTTCAGTGTGACCAGGTTTTGACAACAACCTCTCAGAAGAGCCCCCATTACCTGAAGGTAAAAATTAAAGGTTTTTCATCATCTCTTGTGCAATGATGTTAAAAATGAGCTCACTTCCAATTAGACTCGATATATGTTTTTCCACCTATGAGGCATGACATGCCGACCCTTCTTTAAAGGGCATTCAGTACATAATCCAAAGCTCACACTGACAACAAGTCATGTGATCAAGTCCCCAAAACAACATTAGACAGAAAACACATTAATTTTAAGAATTAACTTTTACCATTAAAATACAACAAATGTTTTTGTTACTGAAGTTTATTTATATATATATTAAATCTTACCAGTTCTAGGGCAACCTCTGTGCTTGACAGGTCTAGATGAATTATAGCATTAGGCTGAGCCAGGAAGTTGTAAAGATTCTGAAAGGGAAAGATTGAATATCTATATAGCTATTGTATTGTATTATATTTCCAAATGCTAAAAGCAGCATCAATTTCTTTCAGAACTGTCAAGTTTATTTTGATAACTCCTGGGATCAGATGGTAACTCTAATTTTTTGCTAATATTTAACAAATAAATATAGGTTAACACATAAGGACCAAAAAGTCTGTAAATTTCAGTTGAAAATGCAGATGCTCAAAATCCTAGCACAACTATTTGCAATTAAAAAAGCTTACTGTAACTTCCTCTCCTTTGAATGAGTTCTCAGCCAACAGAAGATATGTGAGATTGGTTGGCATGAACTTGTTTGAACTCAGAGCCTCAGCTAGGCGATTGGCCCCCTTAGCGGTCATCCCGGTCTTAGCCAGGTTCAGGTAAGTCAGTCCCTTGGGAAGCTTACTGACTGGTCCACACAGGTGATTGATTCCTGGAATTGTATTTTGATTAACTGATGCTGCAGTGACATATTGTGCAAACAGCATACTGTAATTATGTCAGGTGCTGTTGTTTCTTTAATTTGTGAGTTATTACCCCTACTTGAATAAACATTGGCTCTGTTCTTTTGCTATGGACTTTTTTCACATTGCACTGATAATGGTTAACTTCTCTGCTAGTCAGGGGTACGTAGAATAACAGACTCTGATGTCTGTATTTTACAAAGCAGGGCAGACCATTGGCAAATTTGCTAAACAATGACAGGTCTAAAAATTTGAATCAGAACTTGAAGGAAAAACATACATCTCTAATTTTCATATATAATGTCCCCTATATGAGCCCTTACCTCTGTCTTCAATGGGATTGTTTGACAAATCTAACATGGTCAGGGATGTCCCACTATTGGCAATTATTGCTACAGAAAGCTTCTGGACAAAGTCACTGAAAAAATGACAAAGGGAAAGGGAAATTAAACACAAAATCAGACAATTTTACCAAAAGAACAAAAGATGCTTAAATGGCTCTTGTTCTGTCCCAAGATTCAATCTTAAAAGGATGGTGCACATCTTTCAATATCTGTTAATGTATCATCAGAAAATTAATTGCTAAACAATGTCAAAGAGAGGGTTTTCTTTCTGAAAAAGTGGACATTTGTACTCCCTTAGTTGTCCAACCTTGTTTAATGACAAAAAAAAAAAAAAAAAAAAAAATGGTCAAGCAGATAAAATCATTTCGAGCAGGCCTTTTCCAGCAAAACGAGCAGTTTTTTTAGTTTTTCAATTCCCCACCGTCCACCCCCCCCCCCACACGAAAACTTTCCTACCTACTAGCCTGTTAAATCATGCTTTAACTTTAACATATTTCCTGTAGTCCATTTCTCACCCTTTCAGGCCCACACTGCTAAGATACAGCTCTTCTATACATGTGTTCTTCCTCATCACCTTCAGTACTTCTACTTGAGCTTCAGGGACCTGGAAACATCAGTTGTGCAGAAAGGCCTTATTGAGAGAGCTAGAGCTGGAAAGTTCCTTTTCAAGCCTTATAAATAATCTTCACAGTACGTGTGCATGTGTGTGTGTGTGTAGCTGCATATGTGTGCACACATGCATGCATTTTACCTCCACGTAACCGTTTCTGAAGGCAAAAGTTACCATAGCTTCCAGCTTATGTAACAAGGTAATACAAATTTAAAAACATCTTCCACCATTTTACTTCTCACACTATTGCTTCTCATATACTCTGACTTCGACTAAGTTTGCTGAACTATAATTTCTGAATCAGTCATTTGGCTGATAACAAAAATTATACTTATATTTCCTACCAGTTTAGTGTTGGAAGCATTCAGCTTGGTAAACCAGGAGTTGTGCTCCAGTGCAGAGATAATAGGAACTAAATCCCTGAAGTTGCAAAAATATACAAATATGATGTATATATAATATACTGTATATTGCATATACAAATATGATATTATATGTATTTAGTTATGTACTTTCAGTGACTTGATATTGTGTTTGCTGTCAAGTTTTAAAAAACTTTTGGCGACAAAATCCAACACACTGCCACTTTGAGCACAACTAACACAATGTCACAATCCACAAATATCACAACCAGGGCTCATCTTTGACATGAAATTTCTCAAGATAATCTTGCAAAGCAAACATCTGATCAACATCAATGATAAATATGTTTTAAAATGTTTGCACTTAACACCATATAATTATTTAACATTACTTTACCAAATTAAAATGTTTTTTAAAAGCATCTGGCAAGAATTCACTGTGACCAAAGTGAGCCTGGATAAACATGTCTCCATGCCTTACCTACCTGTTGTCTATATGGTCAAAGTCACACAGTGTCAGCTCCTTGCTATCCTGGGACAAGTAGATGGTATCTACATCCTGAAATCATATAAAACTAGTGATGAGTGCAATTCTAGTAAACTGCATTGTCAACAGCACATAGTCCACCCAGAATAACACTCAAATTGTACAGAATTCTGCTTAGGCAGCTGAATTCTCATGCAGAATTAGGACTACATGACCTGTGCTTTTTTTTTTCACTTGAAGGTAATTATCAGCAGTGGTACATGTGTATGTATATACCATACAACTGTACTGCGGGTACCTACACATCTATACATTAGCACGAAAATTCATGCGTTAGCACTCCTATTGACAATTCTGATACGTACTGGCTGTGCACAGCCAGTACATATCAGAATCGTCAATAGGAGTGCTAACGCATGAATTTTCGTGCTAATCTATACATATGTGTATATACTATGAAGCATAGGAGTACAAGTACATGTCTATACCATGAAAGCATGCAAATTAATTTGCATACATGTGTTGGCATGGTCTATACTGTACATATCATATGCATGTGTATGGTATATACCATGCAAATACACATGTGCATGTATGGCATATGCAAAATGTAAACAGTAATGAGATCTACAAATCATTTTTCATTGTAAACTCACCCAGGCCACTTCATCCCTGAAAGGCAGTTCGTGGTAGTCGCACATGCATGCATACATATGAGAGAAGCCCCCACAAGGCCCTCTGTCTCGACCCTCTATGTCTTTGATCATGTCGTACATGGTTTTTATTCTGTCTGGGGGAGTCACTTCTATTTTGTTGATCATTTTCCTAGATAGATAAAAGTTTTCATAAATCACAATAGAAAATTTAGATTTTTGCATTTAATCTGACTTTACAGTTTATGTACTGGGACTTAATCTGACTTTACAGTTTATGTACTAGATACTTGATCTGACTTTACAGATTATGTGCTAGGGTTTTAAATAGACTTCTATTTCTGTATATTTCTTATAATATTATGTACTGTCCACTCACTCTAACTGTTGGGTTGGAAAGATGGCCTTCAGTGTGGTCCCTATATGTGTGATCATGTGATCCACCTCCTCAGTCTGAGGTTGTAATGTGTGGAAGGTCAAGGTCTGAGACGCTCCTCCCTTGGGTGACACTGTCAAACATAGCTGAAATAGAACCGATAATTGATCATCCATTTGTTTATCTGTCAATCTAATAGCATTCAACGTGAGTCCCTGCAAAGTTGGAACAATCTACGTAGAACAATAGGTGAATAATTGGAAATAAGTCCTTAGCATGAGGTTTTACTTCACATTTCAGAGTCTGCTTACACCCAGGAATATTTGGCCTCATAATTGTACATCTGGGCCTGGCTTCAAAAAAGTCCTTTAGCCTCAAGTTTGGTTTTAACTTTTTAGTCTACAGGATTTTTGGCCCAAGAAATATCTTTCAGTAGTCCAATAAAAGGAAAATTATTCCCATTTCATAGAAAGACATAAATGACTTATGATTAAGTTCAATACTTACTTTATTTGAATGCACTACAGCAGTAACTGGAACAAGATTTATTTTCCAATTTGAAGTTGACCAAAATGTTTGGTACAAAAAGTGTTTAAGTCTTTGTTCAACATACCTCTGGCCTGACTTACCTGGTTTTGTTTCTTGCTTTCTATGTTCTGGATGTCCAGGTAATGGACACTAAGGTCAATCTATAAGTAAACAAATAGGGTTTCATTGGATTTTCTTTTCTATTGTTCCCTACTGTATTAGTATGGTAATTACTAGATCTTTTCTATTGGGGGGAGGGGGTGAATTTTACAGATGCTGTATTTTTTAAGTCCTAATTTCTTAGAATTAGAACATTCTTATTGAGTGGTTACAACATGAACATTATTAAAGAGGCTGCTTTATAGTTTTATTCTATGCAGTAAAAGCACCACAAATGCTATATAAAAATATTATTTTTGTGATTATAAAATTATGTAACTGGATTTTGGTTTTTTTTTTTTTTGCCCATTTAAAAGATCTAGTAATTAGCACATATGTTACTAGTCTCTGTACTGCATGAGTACATGTATTATACCTGATACCATGAGTTTACCATGAGTTGCATTATTTCACACAATCTATTCTGCTTGCAAATATGACATAACATGAAATGAGGTTATTGCTTAGTCAATTTTCAAACTTGCCCCCTTTTTCTAATCTTTAACTTTTGGGGAGAAGGTTATTAATTCCCAATGTTCAAATTTATGGAGTCATTACGGTAACCATACTTCAAGAAATAAGATGCAGATTATTTCCTTTATTCAATTCAAATTAAAATCCACAAAATGCAGTCATATATAAAAAAAAATTTACAATACCAACTAAACTATTTGGAATGGCACCACATTCAACAATGAAGAAAGTTTGGTATCTCATGAAAAAATGTCAGTTATGAATAAATATACAAATGTTTTTACAACACAGAAATCAATTTAACTATACATACTTACCTTAGATGGGACTTTGGCTGCCATTACATACAACCGACAGGCAGTGAAGGCCTTAGGGAAGCAAGCAAAAGAGAAAAGTGAAGCTTTTTAAAGTATTTGCATGTACTAGTAATATCACATTAGCAAATATATATATATATATATATATATATATANATTACGGTAACCATACTTCAAGAAATAAGATGCAGGTTATTTCCTTTATTCAATTCAAATTAAAATCCACAAAATGCAGTCAAATATAAAAAAAAATTTACAATACCAACTAAACTATTTGGAATGGCACCACATTCAACAATGAAGAAAGTTTGGTATCTCATGAAAAAATGTCAGTTATGAATAAATATACAAATGTTTTTACAACACAGAAATCAATTTAACTATACATACTTACCTTAGATGGGACTTTGGCTGCCATTACATACAACCGACAGGCAGTGAAGGCCTTAGGGAAGCAAGCAAAAGAGAAAAGTGAAGCTTTTTAAAGTATTTGCATGTACTAGTAATATCACATTAGCAAATATATATATATATATATATATCTGTAAACAGCTCTGCCAGTTACAATATTACAGAGTTGATAAATAAAATTCTTTCCAGTTATAATGTTACAGTGTCTTTAAATTAATTAAGGTGCACTAAGTTTGCATAGAATTACTCTTTTCAAGTGTTTTGAAAAATGAATTCGTTTTGTTTACACTTTTGCCAGTAATGATAATTTATGTTATATGCTTCATACTACTTCATACAGGCATGAATGATAAATGTTTTTGCTGTTTACAAATCGATTCAGGCATAATACTTCTGATATCAATTATTAATAACAGCAATATTTAAGTGCACTACTCAAAACTAATCAGACATCATAATACACACAAATCACTGCCTAGGAAATGAATGAGTCATCCCAACTCTGTTCCATTACCAAGACTTGCCCATTTAGAGGGGTGTATAATTACTGTAACCCAGTAAGCCAAAGACAGCAATTCTAAAGCTTGATATACATTTTACCACAGGAAGCAACAATGGACTAAATTCCCATTAATATTATGAAGAAAAACTTTTTTCATTAGCAGAATGTTATTTCTAATCTACTCAGGTTTCTATGTAAAGTGCTAAACAATTATCAAACATCAATAATTATGATAAAATAACAAGTTGACTGCTCACACTCCTGTGCAAGTGATCAAAGTGCATCTTGAATCTTAGTCTTCTGATATGCCAATGCCGAGGTGTTACGTATGTACAATCTCTCTCTCTCTCTGACACACAAGCAATCATGCATGCACACACACAAGAACATACACACTGTATGGACCCTCTAACTTACGAGGACTTTGGTTTCAGTCTTGTCTCCCTTGGTCTCCATCTTCATCATCCTCTTGATGGCCACCTTGACCTTCTTGTCCAGCACCTCACGCATGCTGTCTGGAAGGGCACACAGAAAATAGGATTAATAAATGAATAATGAGAGAGAGAGAGAGAGAGAGAGAGAGAGAAAGAGAGACTCAGTAGCAATTCAGCTTACTGGCAGATCAATACAAAAGTCGGAGAACTTCAATGCAAATAGTCATGCTACTTAGCAGAAAAAGCAAAGTTATACAATAGACTTCCTCTGACTTGTCACCTCATCAATTGATTTATCATTATTTTGAACAACTGTTATGGATATATATTTTCCCTTAATATTAGCTGAAATTATGCAAACTAGCTAACTTTGGTGTTCCCTTAACTCAAATTTTCTGGTCCCAAAGTTTCTGATTTATACATATATATAATGCAAACGTGTAGAACTCTGTGTGACAGCCTACTAGTATTTGATGTTTTTTTAAGATCATAGTTTTGTCTTTCACCAGACACTGCACCACAAAAATACAGCCTATGGACTGTACGACTGGGAATATGTATATGTACCAGGGGCGGATTTAGGCCGTCTTCTGGGTCTTCCAGAAGACGGTCAGATTTTTAAGTTTACATTGAGGGGTATCTAATTTTTTCTGTCAGAAGACGGTCAAAAATGGTGGATAGATCAACAAAGATAATTTGGAAGACTGTCAGAAAATATCTCTGGATCCGCCCCTGCTGTACAGTAAAATCCAAATATTCAAATATTCAATATAACGACAGTGCCAGAAACCAAAGAGAAGAGACCTGAGCTGGTTCACTGTGCACAGCACTGGTCAGTAGAGTGTGATCTTATATATACTAGTACATGCACTTTGAAATTAACATGTCTTTTCCATTATTCTACATAATTTTTAAAAATCTGACTTTTTCTGATGGCTCATGATATGCTGCCACAAGTGCACACAGATTTTACCAACATTAAGTAATCTAAGTTTCATCTTTTGAGAAGTTACAGCAAACTTACAATCACAGTACAGAGACCCAGGGTCCTGCTCCAAGCTGCTGTAGAATTTCAGGCAAAAACTGTTACATAATTCAAAAGATATGTTGGGTTCAATGGTGCTGTAATGCAATTGGAATGTCAACCTTGCTAATCACGTGGTACTACTTATATGGGGGTTAGTATACAACATTTACTGTAGTTGCCAAATATTTATTCTTGAAATGCAGAACAAGGCTAATAAAAATAGTGTAATTTGTAAAACCAGCTTGTACTCAGCATGTAAGAATGAGAGAAAAAGAAAATAAATATTTTGGGTGCTTGACTGGAAAATGGAAACTCTTTAACATCAGCGTGGGTTGTGGGACATTTGACAACAGTGTGTTAACAGCCATGTTGGACATTCTTTACCAGAGGCCAGCTGGGGGATGACATCATTTTGTACAGACATATGCCCAGCTCAGCTAGTGACTAGCCAGAGAAATACTGTGAATATCTGAAATGAAGAATGAACCTGTTTGAGGGCACTTCTAGGGAAAGATTTCCAGATGTGGAAACCTGTAAGGAGGGAGTGGGACAAATCTAATATACTGCTTACCCCCCCCCCCCCCCCCCACACACACACACACACACACACCTTTCCCGGGTTGCACCTTTCCCGGCCTTATGTCCCACGCGGGACGAAGAGCAATGATGATGATGATTTCAACTGGAGTAATTTGGGGCCTCTTGCAATACTAGTATGTATGAAATATGGTCTTTTCACCTCTTTCAGGAAGAAACAATGGGTGGACCTACATGTATCATTTTTGTCAATCTCTCCCATAACAAAACTGGTGCTCAGCTAAAATGAACTACCAGTTGACAAAACTAATTATAAGCAGAAATGAAATGGCTTGTGGCACAGTGGGTTCCCACAATAATCCTCACTTCTGCACACAGATGACCTGCTGGTGAAATAATTTAGTTGTCTGCCATGATGACACCATGTGTCATGCAGTCTACAGCCGCATTCACAATAAATCTCACATAGAGGCTATTGCGTACCAACTCCAAGTGAACTGAGAGCAATCAGTTTAACAGTCTAAGGGCGTATTCCCATAGATTTTTGATCGACCTATCCCCGTGGGGAGTCTCACTAGATTACTGTCAGATAATCTGGCTTAAGTGTCCGTACCGCCTACTACAAGCTGTAAGGTGGTAATTAACTTTCGCGCCCGCTCAGCTGACAGCTATTTAGCTTGAACCCCCGGGTAGTTAGGTCCATCTAGTTTGGATCGATCTAATCTCTGGGAATGGGGTCTAATATGCCTCCTCTTGTTTACAACAGAAGCTCTTGTATAATCACCAGCTTTTCTATATTCTACTCATCGTCATAAGGAGGCACGTTAGTCTATCAACCTGATTCAATTCAACGAGAGCCCCTGTGTAGTTAGTGCACAGTAGCTAGCACTAGTATGATAGATTCATTGTGATCACACTCTTATTTGAAAACTTTACAGTCTTACTGCTTCCCAAGTGTGTATAATAAACCACTAAATCATAAGACTGTACAAATTACAGCTGCATCATATCCTGCATTAGGTATACATTTGTTGCTATAAACCTATGTATTTGTCAAAGACAAGCCTACCTGCCACTGGACAATTCAGTATGCTCCAACAAAAAAATGGATGACTAAATCAGTTTACCAAGTCCACCTTATCAGGTTTTTTTTTTTTACCTATCCTGCAGATAGACTTAACGATAAACAGATACGTAGAGAAACATGACGTTTCCAAGAAGATATAAAAATGTTTGCTGTGGATTGAAGCAGGATACAGTACATCTCTAGAGATAGTGCCACACTTAGTCTTGTATTTAATGTTAGGTTATAGCTTATAGCTTGTTGCAAAAATTATAATTGCTAACCTTCACACACTATTATCCTCATGCTAGTAATCAATTTGGTAACCTTAGATGGCTTAGAAATATCATTTTTGTTTAAAAGTAGTAAAATACCTACTGTTCTGATGATGTCAAATGGCAAAGAAAAAGTCCTTCCACTGTTTTACCACAAAGCAAGGCTTTAAGGTACCCCCAATACTTTGCAGCTCTGTATAAAGTTATAAATGTGTACCAGAGCTGGTATCAGATTATCTAAATATGAGCCCATACACTCCTTAGGGCACAGCATTATATAGTTTTGGTCAATTATAGTTGCACCTTATTGTAGTTTGTCACATCCCACCATCACATCATGGTGTATGAAGCCATTTTAATATGCCTTAGACATGGCATGGATTTGACTTTTTAGACTGACCTCAGATATTTGGCTATGAACACAGCCTCCATCCTACTAGTATTTGTAAATTTTTATGCACCGGGTATAAAAACAATTTTCTTAAATTACCACAATTCATGCTAATATTGCACTGCAATCTTGGAGTGAAAATTCAGAGTTCTGGAATACTCTGAGTGGATAGGGGTGCCCAATCTTATGTATACTTGTACTGTAACAACTCTTGAAAAGACACACCTATTTCTGTAATTAATAAGTATGTTAAAAATACTTCAAATAGTCTAAATATACTGCACCAATTTACGAAAAAAATTCCCTGCTGCTAGCCCCCATCTCCTTTAATTTCAAGAATAGGGAAAACCTTAACCTTTATCAATTCTAAATTTCCAAACTAGATGCCACCCCCCCCCCCCCCGCCCCCACCACCACCACCACACACACACACACACACACACTCCCCAAGCTCCATTTTTAATTATGGAGGGCAATCTACAAGTAAAAATCAATACCTCCAGGTCCAAAGGTTCATCTATCATAAAACAAGTAACCAACTGAGAGATATATCTAATCAAGCACTGGGGGGGAGGGGTGGGGTGGGTGTGTATATCCATTCTTGAAGGGGTGTGTTCTTGACAAGTCTTTTTCTCCAACTCTTAACTGTTGTACTGGAAAGACGGCCTTCAGTGTGGCCCTAATATGTGCATTGGTAATCATGTGCCTACATTTACTTGCTCTTTGTTTCTTGGCTAGCACCCATTTTGACCACTGATAATGTTCTTCCCCTAACTAGTATATTAGGATCCCAAGCATGCTCATGTAAGTAGCTAGTTGAATGTATGTAAGTAACTTTAGTAATGCAAACTGTGCTGCAAGTTAGGCATTTAAACATAAATCACTTAAATGCAGACTAAGACTGTGAAGAAAAAAAATAAAAGGCACTATTTTTAAATAAAAGACCACAACTTCAACACTGAAGACATTTAAACTGTGCATAATATCACCATGATAATGCATAAATAAAACCCTAAATTATCCCAGCCTCTAATCACAGGAATTCCTCTAATGATCATAAATCACTATTTAATAGTAGACAATAATTGACATCAAACCCTGNCCCCCCCCCCCCCCCACACACACACACACACACACACACACACCTTTCCCAGGTTGCATGATTTCAACTGGAGTAATTTGGGGCCTCTTGTAATACTAGTATGTATGAAATATAGTCTTTTCACCTCTTTCAGGAAGAAACAATGGGTGGACCTATATCATTTTTGTCAATCTCTCCCATAACAAAACTGGTGCTCAGCTAAAATGAACTACCAGTTGACAAAACTAATTATAAGCAGAAATGAAATTTCTTGTGGCACAGTGGGTTCCTGCAATAATCCTCACTTCGCACACAGATGACTGCTGGTAAAATAATTTAGTTGTCTGCCATGATGACACCATGTATCATGCAGTCTACGGCCGCATTCACAATGAATCTAACATAGAGGCTATTGCGTACCAACTCCAAGTGAACTGAGAGCAATCATTTTAACAGTCTAAGGGCGTATTCCCATAGATTTTTGATCGACCTATCCCTGTGGGGAGTCTCACTAGATTACTGTCAGATAATCCGGCTTAAATGTCCGTACTGCCTACTACAAGCTGTAAGGTGGTAATTAACTTTCGCGCCCGCTCAGCTGACAGCTATTTAGCTTGAACCCCCGGGGAGTTAGGTCCATCTAGTTTGGATCGATCTAATCTCTGGGAATGGGGTCTAATATGCCTCCTCTTGTTTGCAACAGAAGT